GGCGGCTTAAATACACCAAAACGCCATTTTAGATGGACTTTTGATAGATTTTTGACCTAAGAAGGTCAAGGAGGCTAATGAGGAGTTGGAAGAACACAAGCACAAGGATTTCATCATTCCTTCCTCACTCAAGATCCGGGTTTGGATTGAATCTATGTTTTTCGATACCTTAATTACAATTGTAAAGAACTTCTCCATGTCTATGGAGTAGATCCTTTTGGGTTTTGATGGATTTGGTATATTGATGATTGTTTGTGGATTATAACTCTATTTTTATGTATTTGAATTATTTTTGGAAGATTTAATTGTTGCATCTATATTCACTTGTTCTTGTAATCGAAAGAGGCATAACTTGTGATATCTTTGCATTATATTGTTGGTTGAGTTCATAGATTCATCTAAGTAATCGAAAGAGGCTGGTTGAATCATTGATTAAATCTAGCTAGGATAATAATCGAAAGAGGTTTTCCTAAAGACTGATCCACTACGCATTCTTGCATATCTTCACAGTGCTTAAATTGGTTCATCTCGTGAGGTTAAGACTTAATCGAGAGAGGAGTTTTTGCTGAACGTTTTACTAATAATAGAGTGAATTCGAGAGACTCACTTGAAAGTTGGAAATGAATTACCTAGAGTTAGATCTCGAACAATTATCTTGCACTTATTCTGTCAAAACTCTATCATCTTCCACTGATAACCTTAATTGCTTATTCCTTGTTTCGATAGTCACTAATCAATAGCTGTAGATTTTAGATTCTTAGTTAAATTTTATTATTAATCATATAAATCTCAATTGTTGATCCTCCTGGATAGCAATCAAGCTAGAAACTACGAGAATACTATTTAAATCTAATCCTTGTGGACACGATATTATACTATACTATCTTTGACTAGCGAGCACAATTTAAGTGTGTGTTTTGCGCTCGTCAGTGAAGCCATATTATTAGCTTGTAATTTATAAAGTAGAACTCTTTATGAGTTGTGAAAAATTTATCTCCTTAACCTGGATTTTTCGAAAATGTGTGGGACCGTGGTGTCCAGAGTTATATAGCCTGATCCTAAGAAGGAAAAATGTGAGAAAATTTGTTTATTAATTTTATAATAAGGCCTTACAAAATTGAGATTTTTTGTGAAAAATATTTATATTGGAAGATCAGAAATATGTTGTATTTCTAGGTTTGAAAAGTTATGTTGCTTCGGGTCTCTTAGTCATTTGGGTGAAGAAATTATTGAATTATGCTCGTTTCTTACTGATTTGAAATATTTATGTACATGTTAAAGTTGCTTCTATATTTAAACATTGTTTGGTACTTGATTGTGAAAGATACAAAAAAAAAAATCTTATGTGTTGAAAGATATTTCAAAAGGCACTTGTACAGAAGTCAAGTCTTATTTCATTTGAGATGATTTTATGCCTTATTTGAAAAATACTATCAGTTAGTATTTTGTATGTGAATTTTTCACTGTATTAGAAAGATACAGTGATGCTATTGAATCTATGATTCATATGAGAAAAGCTCAATAGTGATTGTGTGATCAACTTTTGGTGGGTGTTGTGGTATTAAAATTGCCTGAAAGTGAGGTTGATTAAGCAACCTCTTGGTGAGTTAAATCGACAATAATTATATCGATGAATTGTGATTGCCAATGCATAATAACTATTGTAAGAAAATAAATCTTTCAATGGGAAGAGTAGACATATTTTTTTAAAGATACAATGTCATAAAGCAATTGCTTAAAGATGAGAATTTTTTATACATATTATGTGTAATCAAAAGAGAATTTGGCTAATCCTTTGACTTATAAGTGAAACATCGAGAGGTTGAGACTTTTTTCATTTTGAGATGTGTCGACAATGATGGTAACCCAACCTATGTGATTGGAGATCCCATGAAGTAGGTTCATATGGGTAATAACAAGTCAGCAGTTGATCAAATATGTACTATCAAATTATGTATCTTCCTATGATGTGTGTGTATATAGTGCAAGACTACAAGGAATGTGAGACTGAGTTATTAAACTCTTAATCCAATAATCCATAACCTTTTTATAGGTGGTGTATTGGGTGCAAAATACATTGTATGGATGGACCTATATGAGTGTGGAGTAGGGTCGCTCCTATAAAACTTGTGGCGAAATTTTTAAAGTACTCATGAAAATCAGGTGCGCGCATGGACTATTAGCACAAAACCGCGACAAACAACAAAGTGTGTAGGATATAATGTGATAGATAAGACACTAAGCTTACAAAAGAATTATTGGTTCATAGAAGTTTTAAACTTCACCAATTGTTCTGTAAGTTTATTCTTATTTTATCTAGGTCTCGTTCATAGTCCAAGAGACACCAGATTCGACGCATTATGCTCATTTGTGAAAACCCAGCAAAAGTTTTTTTTATTTTACTATATTTCTTAATATTCTTTTTGAGTTATGTGGGGATTATTAGAAAAACTAATTGGATAACTCAAAAAGAAATATTCAAATTGTTGTCTAGGTTCATTCTTGTTATATTATATTAATGGATCTTTATTATACTATCAATTTGAATATATTTAATGTGTATAATAGTAAATTTGAATAACTTTGAATATAATATATTTACTAACCTTGAATGGCTATCAAAATCAGTTTGATCAATGATTATAATGAATTTGCTGTTTGAAACGTTTTTTAATTGCTTTTAATGTTATGTAACGTTTTTGGCATTACTAACGAAAATGTTTTCTTAACAACCAGATGTCCACTTTTGGACTATGTATAAATATATCTTCTTGTGTTCATTTGGTGGTGAGTGAAAAAGATGAAAAAAGTCCTTTTTCTTTTGAGCGGTTTTCTTTTATTTAATAAGTGTTTCTGTTACTAGTATACTAGAAGAGCTTATTTAATCATGGGGATACGTCTAATTTTATTCATCACGATGTGGGCAAAATATCCTTAAGGACAATGTCCTTGACACACCTCAAGCTAATTTTATACTCCATAAATCCTATGTTTCAACACAATTAACCCAATTAACCGCCTACTCAATAGCTCAAATAAAAAATAGAAATGATAATAACTTTATAAGGTTTTAATCAGGGTCAATTTGCACTAATGTATTGGCTCATGTTTTGACTTTATATTGGTATTTCTCCCTATTAATTAATTTATGTTGTTTGCACCAGTTTGTTTTAAATAGCTCATTAGGTGTGAAAGAAAAAACACTTAAAATGCCTATTGATATAGGTGAGTATCTAGATTATGTAATTAAGAATTGTCTTCTACTTTTAAATTTTACATCATAAGCAAACACCCTTTTCTCTTTTTCTTTTAATTTTTTGTTTTGTTTTGGGGGGTGGGGGTGGGGGCAAGGGTGTCAAGAAATATATGTTTCTATTGTAAAATCAAGACAGAAAAGGACTAGAAGAGTATTCGCAAGCACAAACACTCCAATCGAATTATTTTGGGGCAAGCAAATCTGGAGTAATGCCAATATAATGTTGATGTTTGAAGAAAGATACAAATAATGAAATCAAAAGAAATAAATAACATACTGAAAATATTTAAAATGTGCTTGACATATTCTACATCTTAATTGAAAACAATCTTTTCTTTTTTTTTTGGTCTCTCCGGCTCAATAATTCCACAAAAGGGCAAAAAACTTAATTAAAAAGCGACTGAAAACTATGTATACGATGTATTTTAAATCCGACGGACTTTATTTAAGGAGTGGGGTCACAATAACAACAACATACCCAGTGTAAACTACAATATTGAATAAACACGATTAGGTTGGAGATTAATTAAACCCCTTTGTAGTGAATCTATATCTTGTGACACTACATTTTAATCATTCTTGAAAAATATAGCAAAAATAATACAAAGTAGACAGAATTATTTGAATTCATACTTTAGAGATTCTTACAAGTTCAGATCATAATAATGATCATATGCTCCATGGTCAAGGAAAAACTATATATTATTCTTCTTACTTTCTTCCATTTCGATTAGGTATTAATGATCACAGTGATTTTAACTCTTTGAATTTGCAACTAACCTTTTTGCAGTAAATATCTTGAAAAAACGATAAATCTTTCCACATGATACACGAGTTTGGAGAATGTCATTAATTGTATATAGTGAAATACAGTACAAAAAACTAGAATTAGCTACGAACTTCGTCACTAATCTGTCGCTAAATCGCTCGTATCTAATAGAATTTCTTGTTAATATGTTGCTAATCTGTCGCTAAATAAGATTAGCGACAGATTTTTTTATTTAGCTAGATAATTTTTCCGTCACTAATTCTTGTCTTTTAGCAGTGATAACATTTCAATATATAGTAGGAGTAGTAGATATCAAAATCACTGAGGCAGCTTTTTGTTCCACCATTATGACATGTTGACCTAATTCTTCATGTAAATATTTGTCCAAAATCCTAATCATGCGTTCTGTGTTTGTGCCTTTGACTTTTCATTGCATTACTTAACTTTTATTTTTTGAAGATGAATTTAACTATGATGGTGTTGTCTTATTAATTATTGGTCTTATTATGAGTCACTATTTAGACTAATCACCAATCGAACTTTGGAACTAGTCTTGTACCATCTATTTATGTAAACTATTCATTTCTTACCTTAGCTTCATGAAACAAACTTGCACTAATGGTCGTTAAAAAATAGAGACAAGTTTCTTTTAAACGATTTGGGGAATTGGTTTTTGAGGGGGGCTTTTTTCACTTTCCCGATTAAAATGAAAAAAAAAATCAGAAATAACCAAATTTGCAACTAGTATTAAAAAATAGACACAATTTTAATAATAATCGAAATTAAATCACTTTTTTATATAAAAATAAAATCTGAACAAAAACACCCCTCCTGCAAGTTTGCAAGTTTATCCGCATGAGATCCATAATCCAACATATTATGCTGAAATTTTCCGTGTGTTAGAGTTCCTCGCGAAAGTAATCGTACAGAATCAAATAATTAGGATGCTCGTTACAAGGGCAAGGTTACCAGGGATGCAAAAAATTAATCTATTTTCTTTCATAGTTCTGGGAGGGGAAAATACTGAGCATACATTACAATTTCCTTTCAAGAGTTCATTAATCTTATTCAATCAAGATTTAGTGATTTACTGCTTAAATCACGGCTATGTAAGTCATAAAGGAGGCCATCATCCAAAAGAAAGATGGTATTTCAAATTTTAGTTTATTGGCACAGCACAATACAACAGCTATAAATATATGTAATTCTTCCTTCACAGTCGAGCAGTACGCAGTTGCTGCTTGAGTAGTGGCCTAATATATTCATGGAAGCCGTCAGCTATATCTGATTGGTTGAGAGGATCCTTCCATGCAGCCTCATACAGTTTCGGATACACGTTTCCATCATAACGTCCAAGAATTGAATCAAGGAAGTGATCGGTATAGTTAAATGCATCAACCAGCGATATAGCATTTGGACGAAGCTGATATTAAACAGGAATGGATCAGTAAAAGCAGATTCAACCCGCCAAGCACAAAAATGACAGAAAACAAGTTTAACAAGACGAACCTGGGAATATAAGGCTCTGAGCTGGTCATTAGCAAGTGACGCCTGCTTTGAGGTGATATAGCCAGTTCCGAGAAAATCTCCTTGATGTTTGTGAAGGAGGAAGAGGTAATAGATACCGCAAAGCACCTCCAGCTGTTGCTTAACCCCTTCCCCAGGAATGTCTTGTTGCAACTTCTCAATAAACCTTATGAGATGAGAGACATATTAATTAACAAAGTTCTATACTCTACGATGTTCTCAACCAAATCCTGGTAAATTCCATTATCAAGAAGCTTAAATTCATGCTTTACAACACGAAGATCCTGATCAACTTAGGAAACTATTATACCATTTTCAGCAAGAAAAAATACTTTGCTAAAAAGCAGACTGGTTATCCAAATCAACACAGCTGAAGAAGAGAATGCAGTAAAGAAGCTTACTTGGAGACAACAATTAATTGACAATGAGCAACTGCTGCTTCAGCTAAATCAGCTGCAAGTTCTGCAAAGCCTAAAAAAGGAGGACAAAGCAAGAAAAATATAAATTGAATTTTGATCGCGAGAAAAATAAACACACTTATCAAACGTTAAATAAACTTCATGCAGAAACTTTAAGCTGGTTGATAGTCAAACATTATAGAATTGAATAAGAAAGATGCAACGGCTTAAAAGTGAGGACCTTCTTCTGGATTATCAAACTTGCTAAGATTCTGAGCACAAGCAACAGACATTCTGGCAGCCCTTGCTTCAAATGCTTCAACTACCGCACTAGGTTTCAGCCAGTCCTTGGCTGCAGGAGACGGAAAACAACCACAATCAGCAATCTACTTTGTGTACGTAAAAAACATAGGAGGCTAATTGAAAGGCGAAACAACAGGCATTCTTACATGGTTGAAGTTATGAAAGTAAAAGCGAGGAACATAAGAGTACACCTACTAATATCACAAGCGCATCCTTTTCTAAGGCAACCGATACTGGAATAAGTACTTTCAGAACGAACTGTAACTATAACAATGAAGGATCAGCTGCAAGAATTTTACCTTGTTTCACATCAGAACGGCATTGCATCAAGTGTTCAATTCTTCCCATATAAGCTATAGTACCCACTGGCTTCTTTCCGGAGCCCAGCTGTGAAACGGTTTTCATAAGAAACCTCGCAACCTACATGAAACACAGCATGGTTCATACTGGAATACTAGATCAAAAATATCATACTATTATATCAGAATCAGAAGACTCTGTAATAAGACTTCATAAAACAGTTAAGTATATGTTGTACTTCACTTGCTCATTTAAGCTCGACATTTAAGTTACCAAATGTTTGATTTTTCCTTTGGGGTTGAGGGGAAGGAGAGGGGGGTGGTTCACAACAAACGAAAGAACAAACAAGCCACAGCCATCCTATTCATAAAGTACGATTCAGGAATGTACACACAGCCATGACAAGTGGATCACAGCGATACAATGTTTGAGAACATTGTCTTGAGTTTCCCAAAAATATTGAGCAGTAAAACTATTTTTCGAACATCTTTTGAGCCTGCTAGTTTTTGTATACAAAACAAGCTTTACTCAACAATTTTCACCTCTGGCACTTCTACCAACCTTTTGGCACTTTGCAACTAAACTTGTACTTTCACAATCAAGTGCTCACAAGCAAATATTTTAATAAAAAAGTGTCATGTGAAATCTCATGAGACTTGCTTTTGGGAGAGCAATAGGGAATAACACGCCAACAGAATCCCCTTATTGATGCAACAACAAATTTTAGCCCACGGAATTCATCCATTAATTTTAGGAAAATTTACTTTTTTTAACAAGGAATTTTAGAAAAATTAACATTCTATCATCAACTCATTCTTATCTACTTCCTCTATTCCAAAAAGTTATCTTAGTCTCCTCTCAGTTACCAAATAATCTTTGTTTTTCATGAAGTAACAAAATGTACCTTGGTTCAGAGTCTGGACACTTTCGAGTTCCAATCATTGATAAACTAAATTATAGAATGTCTATAACTTCTAAAAGACCTTGATAAAGAGGGAGGTATGGAGGTTCGAGAAAACTCTTTAAGTAAGAATTCACATTTTCCAGAAATTTCTCAATACTTCTCATTTGATGGTTTCTCATTTGATGGTTCTCTTATTTTAACAACAAAAGATTAACTCAAAAGTGTTAAACCCAGACCAATATGTTTAGCTGCTAGAAATTTCTTTTTTTTTTAAAAGACAATGACAAACTGAAGCATAGAAAATTTATATAAAAAACGAATTACTATGCTCAATAACTAAATATTTTTGAGAGGCTTAAATTACCACCACTGGACAAGTTGAGAAAGGATCTCTAAGTCCACACAAACCCTTTAAAGAAGAACTTAGAACTTGCATGTCAACCTTTAACAAACAATTAGTTTACCTGTAGTAGTAGCACGGTGTTATCTCCTTCGTATGTACAGGCAGGGACATAAACGGCAAATAACTCTGGGAGTCCACTGCTACATAGATATCCATGACCTCCACATAACTTTCGGCATTCTTCAATTCCATCCTGGAATAAAATTGCAATGAAGCAAGAAGCATGTTATGTTGAATGGCATGACAATGGATTCAAGTAAACAATTAGAGAAAAGTTCTTTTCTTTACTTTTTTTCTTAAATAAGCAACAGTTTTTCTTGAATATGAAGAAAAGATCAGGTCCAAAAAAAAAAATCCCGAGGTACATTCAAGAGAACGTTAACTGTTTATTAAGCCAGTCCAATCCAATTGAAGAAGACCCGCTTGCTAGTCTCTTATCCCAATAAAAATGAGGATTGTTTAGGAGACTACATTATAGCGGACAGCTCAATCATCACAGCATCTTAATCAGCCAAATATTAGATTTCAATGCCCACAAGTAAGAACGAAAACTGTATGACAGGCAAAACTTAAAGATGCGTTCAGCCATATATTTTTTTCTGAATATGTTCTCTGCACATGTATATTATAAAATTTCACTCTCAACAGAAACTAACATCTCCTTTATACATAATTCATGTAAAAGACTTGGAAATATGACCCAAAAGCCCCAGACAAGGATGACAGCGTCAATCAAAGATTGTAAAGCGCAAGGTAGGTGGACAATCAAAGTTGTTGTCACTACTTACAGCAGTGGCAGTGGTTGTCAAAGATTTCAATCCCGCCGTACATGCGTGCGCTTCAGGCAATGTTGAGAAATCATTTGCTTGCAGTCTTTGGGTCACATCAGTGTACAACCATTTCAGCCACTCCCCAACAAATCTGAAGGCATATGCAGAAGCCAACAAGGGAAAGAGCCTGTTTTGCTGAGTTTTATAGTCAATCACCTGCATAAAAGCATGCAGTTAGAGCATTAGTTACAACTCTCAAGCTGATAAACGATGACTATGTGCAGTCACCCGACAATATTACTCGACTGGGAAAAACATAAATATATGAACACTTGTGCCAAGTATGACGATACACGTAGCAGAAAGATTTTGTAGTATCTCAGACTCAGCTAGCATAAATATTCTTTTTCTGAGTCACGAGGTTTAATGAAGATAAATTATTATCTTTTTTTGATAAAGTTAATGAACATAAATTATTTAAAGCCATAAGATTCCTAGTACGCAAATTTTGTCGTCAAAAATGTTGGAGTACAGCAATTGGCTCTGCTGGGAGATGTTTTGGCATAAATATCACTTGTTTAATGATTTAAGTCAACCCAAAGATGCGCATACTTTTAATTGTTGATCATCACATAAAAAGTTGCCAGAAAAATTTTATGCTCGCTTTCCAAATCACAGTTCTCTTCGAATTGCTACCGCATAGGATCTCGTTGATATCTACCACAGAACAACATTATCAGACTCCCCCCTTCCCTTGCCAGTTAAATTTTTTGAAGATACCACCGAGGTAATTGAGCATGGTAAATCTCTTTTGGGCAGGCATTTAATCCAACATAGGTTGGGTTATTGAGGATTTTTGCAAGGGATTAATGGCTAATTCTACAGGTATAATGAAAAGAGAAAAGTGCAAGTCCTTCCACCCACCCCCTTTATAAACTAACATGCAGACATCAAAACTCACTCTCCACTCAAATAATATGAGACTAGAGATTGCCCTTAATACAGATGTTGGATTTGTGCTTGCCGACATTAGTGGCACTGGTATGGGAAGTTGTTTGGTATGGATTTCACTTTTGAATAAGCAAATGCATTTCATGAAACACAAAGAACATTTTAAAATCAAAATTAACAAAAATGTCCACCTCTTTTGCATAATTAATTGCCCCCACCAACATGAGTATGCTATAAAATGGCATGCAATGAGTGAAAGATCAGAACCCAGCCATTACAAATGATCATCTACTTTACTACTGATAGGATTTGCTTCCAAGATTACCTGAATTTCTTGTCCACCATTCTGAGAACCAAATTGTCTACGAACGGCACTGTATCTGGTTGCAATACACACAGCCCGAGACAAAGCATTTG